GGTCTCTCCTCCTCCTGCCTCCCCTTTCCCTCATTCAACTGCTGGCCCCTGTCCGCCATTGCCACCACCAAACAACTGAGTTATTTTTACACATCAGCCAGCATCTGGCCAATCTACCACCTTTCATTGTTTATACCCTTAGAAAAAATCGGCCCATAAAAACCAAAAATCACCATCGTCCCACCGGGCAAATGCCCAGTATACCTGATGGCCAGTCCAGCTATGGTCGTGCCATCAATTAACCCTTCGCGTGCCAGCTGTGGCATGTGTGGCCAGGGTTGCCGACCCCTGGTGTAGATGTTCAGTGTCAAAGAATGCATAGGTCTCAGAGGTCCCACGACCTCTTGATGAGAAGAATATGTTCTAGTCTATATTTATATTTAACCTATGATTACTGTTTACTAGTAACAGAATAAGGTATTGATCAGTAGTAATAGCTTTGTTTTGTTTTGTTTTTCCAGATTGAGTGGCTGTAACCTTTCCGAGAGAAGCTGTAAAGCACTGTCCTCATTTCTCAGATCCCAGTCCTCTAATGTGAGAGAGCTGAACCTGAACAATAATAACCTGCAAGATTCAGGAGTGAAGTTTCTGTCTGTTGGAGTGGAGAGTCCACATTGTAAACTGGAATCTCTCAGGTCAGATCAAGTCGTATTTTGTTTTTCAACAAGCAACAACAATAAACAGTAATAACTGTTGCTAATTAAATGTGCTAATTAAATGGACTTCTTCTACAAAATGCTGCCTTTGAATTTTTAGTAATGGAGTAGAAGTCACTGTTTAATATAATATTTGTGAGAATTCTAGCCAGTCCTGCTATTAGCTGAAATACTGGCTAATGTCAGATCTTGTCTCTGAAACACGAATACACGTTATCACCAGGGGTTTTTTTTTGTCTTCTTGTTTATGTTTGTTTGTTTTTCCTTAGACTTAGAGGTTGTAACCTTTCAGAAAGAAGTTGTGAAGCTTTGTTTCCAGTTCTCATATCCGATTGCTCTAGTCTCAAAGAGCTGGACCTGAGTGACAACAATCTGCAGGACTCAGGTGTGAAGCATCTGTCGCTTGCAGCAACGAATCCACACTGTAAACTACAGACTCTAAGGTCAGATCAAGTGTTTGTTCTCTCTTAAAAAAATAAAAAGATATAACCAATAAGAACTGCCAATAGTTAAGTGAACTTCACCCACATGTTTTTTTGTCTTTGAATTCTTATATTTTAGTATGAATTACAGTAAACTACTTACTATTTGTCATGTTGTGAGGTCTAGGTTTGAACCACCAAAAAGAAAAAAGAAAAGCTGCTGGACAAAAGAAGACAGATACAGAGCATTCGGAGAGAAAACAAAGAATACATGGGCAAAAAAGTGCCTAATTAAACACGAGCAAATTGATTAGCCTTTCTGTCTCGATCCCTTAGTGCCACGCAAGGGGCTCACAATCTGTCACGTGGAGGAAGTCTGGTTTTAGTGCAAGGATTTTAAAGCCAATTCCATGAGTAAAAGTTTCACAGGAGTAAACAGATTCTTTATAGTGCTGAGATTAAACAAAAGTAGCATAATGATTTGCACAAAAAAAATTCATTTTTTAGGTTGGATAAACAATCTAAGAAAATCTAAGAGCCGTGAACACAACATCTAAAACATTAAACTCTAGCCCATCTATTCATAGGGAAAATACCAAAAGTCTAACATACTGTAGAAAGGGCAGAGCTAAAAAACCAAACAAAGTAAGATATTCAACAGTGGTGAATACATGAGTGTAAAAAGACACAGCTGAAACCAAGGATAAATACTAAATGCAAGACATCGGAAATGAAGTAATTGAGCTCTATCAGTCTGGAAAACGTTATAAAGTCATTTTTAAAGCTGTGGGACTCCTGCGAACCGCAGTGAGAACCATTATCTACAAATGGCAAAAACATGGAACAGTTCACCACTGTTCCATGCGATGACTCATCCAAGAGGTCACAAAGGACCCCAGAACAATATCCAAAGAACTACAGGCCTTACTTGCCTCAGTTAAGGTCCGTGTTCATGACTCCACCATAAGAAAGAGACTGGGCAAAAATGGCTCACACGGCAGAGTTTCAAGCTGCAAACCCTGCTGACCAAAAGGAACATAAAGCCTTGTCTCAGTTATGCCAGCATGCATTTTGGGGATCCCAATACTTTTGGGAAAATACTCTGTGAACTGATGAGACAAAAGTTGAACTTTTTGGACAGTGTGTATTCCATTACATCTGGTGTAAAAGTAACACAGCATTTCATAAAAGAAACATCACACCA